AAAACCAGATACATCAACTGCTTGGCCCAATGGACCGATTGAACCCGCCCAATTTCCAAAAAAAATTGATTTCAATTGGGTTGGGTCGGGTAGGCGGTTTTTGTCCACCCCTAGTGGTATCTAAGATTATTGTACCTTTTACTACTCTGCCACCTGACATAGCAAAAATGTTACACAAATATGTGAATTTTTTTCTTTCCTGCCACACTTTTAGCATATTATTTCCAAAATGCCACATGTTTCCACTCAGGGTTTTAAAAAAATTGAATTTTTGGCACAAGGGTGCTGCCCTTCCAATGGGCGGTTGTGTCCTATCTCTTTTAGTGTCGCCCTTCCAATGGGCGGTAGTGTCCAACTCAAAAAAAAAATTTACGTTTTAATTATTTTTTCTATTTATTATATATAGTTAATTATGAAAAATAATAATAATTATTAAATTATAAATAATAATTATTAAATAGATAATAATAATATAAAATAAAATAGTACATTAAAATAAAATAAAATAAAAATAATTATTTTAAAATAGTACTAATTAAAATAAAATAGTACATTGAAATATATAATAATAATTATGAAATAAAATACAATAAATGAACTAAAATAAATATTTATTTATTCTTGAAATTAAAAAAGTACATTAAAATAAATGAACTAAAAATTCCTATTCACCCTTAATAAATTTTGACTCGGTCGACGTAAGCATTGGTGGGTTCCACAGGTAGGAGCGTGTACATTTCTGGTGGACCTTCTACGATCAACATCCACGTTTTGGGGTTGTGTAGAAGGTCCTGCATTATTGCTAGGGTTCATGAGTTCAGCGACCAAATCATCACTCAAATCATCCACAGTTGGTATCGCCGCCGCACTTCCATAGCTTAATCTTGTTCCCTCGTTACTCCAACTTGGTAGGTTTGAAGGTGACATTGTGTTAGTCATGTAGGGGGTGTATGGATGTTGGTCTTGAGATGAATTATGGGTGAAGGTTTGTGAGGGGTAAAAATGGACTTGTGGTTGGGGTGTTTGGTAGTTGTGTTCTTGTTGGATGAGGTTGGGTTTTGTTGTTGGATGTTGAAGGGGGTTGGGTTAAATGATAGGTAAGGTTTATTGTAGTGTTGGCTTGGGGTATAAGGTTGTTGTGTTGGGTTAAAAGGTTGTTGGGTGTTGAATGTTTGTTGTTGGGTGTTAAATATTTGTGGTTGGGTATTAAATATTTGTTGAGGGGTGTTAAATGTTTGTGGTTGGGTGTTACAAGTCATGGAGGAGATGTCTTAGAAGTTTGAAGAAGTTGGTTGGTTATGAGGGTCCCATAAGTATCTATTTTGTGATAGATACAAATTGGTCACAGTTCTATACCAATTCATGTATTCCCTATTGGGTTTATATTCGGTATCCATGACATTTCCTTGTAGAACAGTTCGACGACGATTTATCCAGTGCTGACGTTCTTGTCTGTTATAGTCTCTCCAATTATCGAATTTCCATTGGCCGTTTGTTGTACTCTTGTGGTACCTCTCCATGCATGTAGGCGGACCATGAATGTCTTGTTGAATTCCGAATTGGAGTTTCACCCTATCTGAATGATGCATTTCAACATAAGTGAAACAAAATATGAATGTTGTAGAACTCCACATGTCGCTTTCAGTTGGATCCTCATCTTCAAGTTCAAGATAGGGCCTCCATAGAAACTATAACATAGTTAAAAAGGGATTAGAGTAAAAAAAATGAAAAGTGATAGTAAAAAAAAAAGGATTAGAGACAATACATCATCTTACTCAAAATGATCGAAGAACGTCCGATACCCAAGAGCACAATGATGCGGCATTTGTTTTCATAATTCATCCCATACGCGGACCACCTATCAAATAAATAGTTAGTAAAAATTATAGATGAAAAAAATATATACATAAACTTTGTATACTTACTTGGTTGCATATAGAAAGTGATATGGATTGGGGTTGATCGGCGCCAGTCTGGGAATTCTGGACCATCCCCAAGCTTGAATCGAAATGCCACAACCAGCAAAATTATGCATATTTTTCATTGCGCATCTACACAAATTTCTGTATAGATGCGCTAAGGTAGCAGCGCCTCAACTATATCTACTTACTTGACTTAAATCTTCTAATAATGATAAAAATTGAAGATGGATAGTATTACCATTAGTATCAGGAAATAAAAAACATGCAAAAAGCAATAGTATATAAATTCTAGTTTTATAAATTTTGAGTTCCTCGGGAGACTCATTGGCTAGGTTCAAAGCACCATAAATTCTTTTTAGCCAGGTAATTTTAAGGCTTTGCCTCTTCCTATCACCTCGTTTCAAAGGCACCCCCAATAGTTCTTCCATTAATTCATACTTAACGTTTGTGTCACCCACAACCGCTAACCCATTGACACAGAGACCCAACAACATATGGACATCCTCCAGTGTCACTATGCAGACTCTATATATTTACGTGAGCGTGGTTTGTAATTTTTTTCATCCTAAAAAAAATATTTTAAATAACATTATTAGAATGTAACAACTTAATATTTTAAATAACAACTTCAAAAATAATTTAAATAACTAACATAAATATTATAACGTTATTTTAAATAACATCATAAATTTTTTAAATAAGTAAAACCATTTTAAATAAATAAATTTGTAAAAATTAACTTACATAAGATGTAATGTTTGCAAGTGTACCGCGATGGTCATCTCCTAACGTGAGTAAAACTATTTTTGAGAGACTTTTTAAGAGTGGTAGTAGAATTATATAGAGATGAACTATAATGGTAAGAATTATATAGTAGAGACTTTGTAAGATTGGTATGTAGAGATTTTTTAAGAATGGTATTTATAGGAGGTTAAGATGGGTAAAAATTAAATTGAGTGTTGGTAAAAATTAAATAAGTGTTAGTAAAAATTAAATAGGTGTTGTACGTGTCTGCATGCATGAACGTTTTGGGTTTCAGCACATTGAATTATATATAACATTTGCACAATGTCAAGAAACTCAAATTTCTCAGGTCATCAATCCATCCATAGAGGAAATGCCAACCATAATTCCACACGAAGATGTTGAAGAAGAAGACGACGAAGAAGAAAATGAGACACAGGTTGATGATTTATATAATACTTTGTTTGAGGAAGGGAACAGTGTCAACGAAGTCAACAGAGATGAACAATACATTCCATTTGAGAATGTATTCATCCCACCGGCACATATGACAACCTTGCCGTTAAATGTAGAAGGAACATCATGTGAATGGCCACAGAATCCTCATATTCCAATGGAGGGTGACATAGAAGTCGGTAATCAATTTAAAAATAAAGTTGACTGTGTCGCTGCCATTAAGCAATATCACATGAAACACTGCGTGGATTATAAAGTGACAGATTTCGACAAGAAGAGATACATAATTTGTTGCAAGAATAATCCTGCAAGTTTTGTCTATTGGCGTCCTACCGAAAAAGAAGTGACTTGTGGGAGATATGCATTATGAACCCACCCCATAGTTGTTCAACAACTATGTTTAACCAGGATCATCAAAAACTAACCTCGCAGTTAATGTCTCAGAAATTAATGCCTTTTGTAGACAAGGACCCTTCTATTAAGGTTAGTGTTTGTATAAGTAAAATTGTTTTTGAATACAATTTTACTCCGTCTTAAAGAAAGACATGGATTGTAAGGAATAAGGCAATTGAACAGGTGTACGGTAACTGGGAGAACTCATACAATGAACTTCCACATTTTCTGTTAGCACTTAAACAATTTGTTCCGGGCACTGTGCTGGAAATAGAAACACTACCCATGTATACAGCTGACGGGACACTTGTTGAAGGGAAACACATCTTCCACAGGCTATTCTGGGCATTCCAACCATGCATCAGAGGTTTTTCCTATTGCAAACCTATACTTCAAATTGATGGAACCTGGTTATACAGTAAGTACAAGGATACACGGCAGTGGCACAAGATGGCAACCTCAATATATTTCATGTTGCTTTTGCCCTTGTGGAAGGTGAAACCGCTGAAGGTTGGAGGTTTTTTCTGAGAAACTTAAGGAGGCATGTTGCGCCACAACCAGATCTATGTTTAATTTCAGACCGACATGCATCAATTGAAAGTGCATACAACAATGCGGAAAATGGTTGGCATGATCCCCCATCAGTGCATGTTTATTGTATCAGACACATTGCACAAAATTTTATGAGATAAATCAAGGACAGGAACCTACGGAAAAAAAATAATTAACATGGGTAACTATATTTCATAATATTCATTAAATTTTGTCAATAACATATACATATTTTTTTGTCCTTCGTTGGTTGATATTTTAATTATTCAGGGTATGCTTTAAACCAATCAATATTTCATTACTATCGATAAGAGATTGGCATGGCAAACGCAGATGCTTTAAGGTGGATTGACCAAAAAATGGACAAGGGCATTTGACGGGGGTCGACGTTGGGGTCACGTGACTACCAACCTTGTTGAGTCATTGAATGCTGTCTTTAAAGGCACACATAATTTACCCATTACAACATTGGTAAGGGCAATATATTATAGACTGGGATCTTTATTTGCTGAAAGGGGTGCAAAGTGGAGTGCTGTGTTGGATTCTGGCCAAACATTTACAGACAACTGCCTCAAGGTGATGAAAAAAGAAACAACAAAATCCAACACATATCAAGTCAGAATTTTTGACTACGCTAACAATGTTTTTAGTGTGAAGGAGACAATGGACCATGGTGAGGGGAAGCTTATGGGACATTATAAGGTCAACCTCTTGAACGGGTGGTGTGACTGCGGAAAGTTTCAAGCATATCGTGTCCCTTGCTCACATGTTATCGCTGCATGTTCGAATGTGCGCCACGACGCTTACGCTCTTTTGTCCGACATTTATAGGGTTACAAACCTGTTTGGGGTTTACAGCACAAGCTTTCCAGTGCTGTCGTACGATGAACATTGACCCGTTTATGAAGGAGATCAAATTTGCCATCACCCAAGAATGCGGAGGAACAAAAAAGGTCGCCCGGTGAGCACGCGTATTATAACGGAAATGGATAACTTTGATAAGCTTGAGAGAAAATGTTCCATGTGTCGTCAAATGGGCCACAATCGAACCTGGTGTCCCAATGTGGGAACAAGTAATCGTTAGTGTTTTTATTAATCATCATGTATTAAATAATATTAGTTAATGATATCAATTAATATAAATTATGTATTAAATAATATAAATTAATTTTAAAATTGTATTAATATTTAAATTATATTAATATTGCTATACATTAATTGATTATATTAATATTAACATTATTAGTATTGATAATATTAATAATATTAATATTAATATTATTAATATATATATATATATATATATATATATATATATATATATATATATATATATATATATATATATATATATATATATATTAATAATATTAAAAAAGAATTAAAATGTAAAAGTAAAAAAAAATCAGTATTGGACAACGCCGCCCATTGGAAGGGCGACACACTCTAAATTAAGACACTGCCGCCCGTTGAAAGGGCGGCACCCTTGTGCCAATAATTTCAACTTTTTTGAAAGTGTGGCATTATGGGGTATTTGCTGAATTCTATGGCATTTTGGAAATAATTACCCAAAAAAATGGTAGGACAGTGCAAATTTCTAAATATGTTGGTGTATTTGCTGAGCCTAAGAGTTTACCCCCTGCTAGATTCCATGAACATGCTATTACCTTGGTGGAAGGTAGTAATCCAGTCAAAGTAAGGCCTTATAGGTACCCGCACAGTCAAAAAGCACACATAGAAACTATGGTTAATGACATGCTGACACAAGGTATTATCCAGCCAAGCAATAGTCCATTCTTTTCTCATGTCTTACTTGTTAAAAAGAAAGATGGTTCCTGGAGGTTTTGTACGAATTATAGAGCTCTCAACTCCATAACTATCAAAGACAACTTCCTTATCCCAATTGTTGATGAATTATTAGATGAATTATATGGTGCATTATTTTTCAAAGTTGGATCTTCGATCGGGATACCATCAGATATTGGTGAAGCCTGAAGATAGACCAAAAACAACTTTTAGAACTCATCAAGGGTTGTATGAGTGGTTGGTCATGCCATTTGGACTCTCAAACGCTCCTGCATCTTTTCAACACCTCGTGAATCATGTATTTCAGGCTCAACTCAGAAAGCTAGTACTAGTGTTCTTTGACGATATCTTAGTATATAGCCCTACATGGTCCACTCATCTAGCTCATTTAGTTGAAGTCCTACAACTTATGCGCCATCACTCGTTGTTTGCCAAGATGTAAAAATGTTATTTTGGATTAATTGAAATAGATTATCTGGGTCACACTATTTCTTACAAAGGAGTGCACATGGACAAAGACAAGGTGAAAGTTGTCCATGATTGGCCGATTCCATTAAACCTGAAGCAACTCCGAGGATTTTTGGGATTATCGGGCTATTATAGAATATTTATTAGAAATTACACCACCATTAATGTGCCTTTGACATCATTACTAAAAATATATGCTTTTGAATGGACTCTATCAGCCACTGAAGCTTTCTTAGCTTTAAACCAAGCCATCACAATAGCGTCGTTGCTAGCATTGCCTGATTTTTCGAAGCCTTTCATATTGGAAACTGATGCTTCTGATATAGGGATTGATGCCATTCTTAGTCAAGATAAGCACCATATTGCTTATTTTTCTAAGAAACTCAATCCATTTATGCAACACCAATCTGCTTATGTTCGGAACTTTATGCAGTGACAGAAGCCATGGCCAAATTTCGTCATTATATATTGGGTAATAAATTCATTATTCATACTGATCAACAAAGTTTAAAGTCCTTAATTGATCAAACTATTCAGACCCCTGAGAAACAAAAATGGCTTCATAAATTCCTTGAATTTGACTTTACCATAGAGTACAAGCCAAGAAAGGATAACATAGTTGTTGATGCCCTCTCTAGGTCTTTCTTTATGGCTACCTCAAGACCGGCCAATTCCCTGTTATCCAATATATCCATTGTTTTCATTGCTAACCCAACATTGTCTCACATCAAAGCCTCATGCCTTCAGGGGACAAACCCAGATCCCTTGTACCAGGTCAGACATGACATATTATATTGGAAAAACAAAGTGGTGGTACCACCTATTCCCATTATTATTCAAATGATTTTGCAAGAATTTCACTCTTCCATGTTAAGTGGTCATGTTGGCATAACACGAACTAAAGTACACACTACTTTGCAATTTACATGGTCGTCTTTATCACGTGATGTCAGGTCTTTTATCTCTTAGTGTTTAGTTTGTTAGCAAGTTAAATCCTTCAATGATGCACTTGCTGGTCTTTTGCAACCGTTAGTTATTCCTTCTCAAATATGGGAAGATGTGTCTCTGAACTTCATCATAGGACTTCTACCCTCGAACGGTTTTACTGTGATCATGGTGGTGGTATACAGGCTTTCCAAATATGCTTATTTCACTCCCTTAAAATGTGATTTCACAAGTTTTAAATTTGTTGGTGCTTTTATAAACAATGTGGTCAAGCTTCATGGTTTCCCTAAAAGCTTAGTGTCTGATCATGATAAAGTTTTCACTAGTGCTTTTTGGAAGCAACTCTTCAAGTCTTGTGGAACTACACTTGTCATGAGCTCCACTTACCACCCTCAATCTGATGGACAGGCCGAGGCAGTCAACAAGTGTGTAGAACTGTATCTCAAATGTTTTGTCGGTCAAGCACCTCATAAGTGGTCCAAATTGTTAGAACGGGCAGAGTTCTGGTACAACTCTTCTTACCAATGTAGTATTAGCATGACACCCTTCAAGGCAGTTTATGGCAGAGAGCCACCTATCCTTCTCAAATATGATATTGTAGCAGCTGATCCCCCATCCTTACAAGCATTGCTTTCCAAGAGATACAACATTATCCAACTTCTCAAGGCTAATTTGCATAGGGCTCAACAAGTTATGAAAAAATATGTGGATGCTAAGAGACGATTCGCTGAATTTCAAATAGGGGATATGGTACTGGTGAAGCTACAGCCTTATAGGCAACATTCCATTTCAAATAGGGGATATGGTACTGGTGAAGCTAGAGTCATATTTTTCTAAAATGTTTTCACATGACTTAGTCTCATATTCAGATTCTTGTTGAGCTATTTCAAAGTCATTTTTGATTTTCAGATTAATTTCTTTTTTCTCAACAAGTTCTGTCTTCAGAAGATCAATCTCAGATTCAAGACTGCTTTTCAGCTTCTTGTATTTGAGTTTGATATTGTTATAACTTTTCAGAACTTATGATAATACTTTGATAAGTTCTTCTTTAGTAAGTTTAGCCATTACCTCTTCAACGTCATCGTCAGATTCAGAATCAGATTCAGATCCTGAAGTTCCTTCCTCCTGATCTTCTATGTTGGCCATCAGTGCAACATTAGCACATTGTTCTTCTGATTCAGAAGATGATTCAGATTCATCTGAGTCATCCCATGTTGCCATCAGAACCTTCTTCTTTTTGTCAACCTTCTTCTTGGGTTTTTCTCTTTGAAGTTTGGGGCAAACATTCTTGTAATGCCCAGGTTCTTTGCACTCATAGTATACAACTTCTTTCTTGCCAAATCTTCTGTGTCCAGAAGATTCCTTTTTCTGATAAGATTTTCTGAAGTTGTTGAACTTCTTTCCCTTGTGCTTCTAGAGTCAGTTGATCCTTCTGGACAGCATGGATAATTCATTTTCTTCTTCAGAAGAAGATCCTTCAGAGCTTTCTTCAATAACCTGCAGAGCTTTAGCAGAATTATTAGATTTTAAAGCAATAGATTTACCTTTCTCTTTCTTCTGAGGTTCATCTTCCTCAAGCTCAATTTCATGGCTCCTCAGTGAGCTGATGAGTTCTTCTAAAGATATCTTGTTTATATCTTTAGCCATCTTCAAGGCAGTCATCATTGGTCTCCATCTGGTAGGTAGACTTCTGATGATTTTCTTTACATGATCTGACGTGGAGTATCCCTTTTCCAGAACCTTTAGACCAACTGTAAGGATCTGAAATCTAGAAAACATAGTTTCTATATTTTCAGATTATTCCATTTTGAACGCCTCATACTTCTGTATAAGCGCCAGAGCCTTGGTCTCCTTCACTTGAGAATTTCCTTCATGAGTCATTTTAAGTGACTCAAACATTCCATGAGCTGTTTCTCTGTTAGTAATCTTTTCATACTCAGTATGAGAGATTGCATTAAGCAATATTGTCCTAGCCTTATGGTGATTTTTGAAATCCTTCATATGGGCTTCTGTCATTGATTTTCTATCAATTTTCTTGCTATCCTCATTTGTAGGATGTTCATAACCATCAATGACCAAGTCCCACAAATCAGCATCATACCCAAGGAAGAAACTTTCTATCCTGTCCTTCCAGTAATCAAATTTTTCTCCATCAAACATGGGAGGCTTTGTGCGGATTCTATACCTTTCATATTTGTTACAACTGGCTGTATTGGATGTAGAAACATCACCCATAATGACAAACAAATATATACCACAGTAACTTTTCTCACTGGATCTTTACTGACACGGTTAAGTGATAGCACACGCAGAACCAGGCTCTGATACCAACTGAAGGTGAGAAAATTACTTAGAAGGGGGGGGGGGGGTTGAATAAGTATGCCAAATAATCAAAGATTCAAACACAGTTATTTTTATCCTGGTTCGTTGAACTCAACTACTCCAGTCCACCCTCTCAAGAGTGATTTGCCTTTCTCAGTCAAGGACTTAATCCACTATTTAATCAAACAGATTACAATAGTAACACCTAAGAATAACTGTTCTTAGTCTTCTCAAGAGCTACTGATCCCAACTGGATCCTTTTAAGGAAACCTTTTACAATCAATGTAAAACTAATACAAGAGTAAGAATGCTTCTAAAAAGCTATTATCACAACTGTGATATTTCTCTTAAGTTTTAAGAACAATGTTACAGCAAATAAGATAAAAGAACTTTTGAGAGATTTGCTTTTTGGTGAATTTTTGCAAGTTGTTCGTTACTGAAGAAGATGGAGTGGACTTCTTTATATAGGCACTTAGATCCATGAAGTCTTCTCAACGTTGAAGGTTGTGCTGAAAAAGCCTGGAGCCTTTTGTCTTTTACTTTGCAGAAACTTTCCTTAGAATGGAATGCACAAATAAAACCTTTTTGTCTGTGTTCTTGTGTCTAGCATAAAAGAGGAAAGAGCTGTTGAGATATGCAAACGTACATATTCAAATCTTCTTCACTAAGTAAGTTCACCTATCAACATCAAAGTCTGGATCTTCTGAATCTCTAGAGTAAAGATCTTCTGGATCTGCAGAGTCTTGGGATGTTCTTCAGATTATGCTGAATCAGAGTATGTGCAGCTTGTATGCTTTAGCGTGTAGTTCTGTTAGAGCAAAGTCTTCTATATCAGATTTTCAATACTTATGCAGCGCAGTATCTTCAGAGTCTTCTGATGACTAAGCTTCTGAACTCTCAGAGTCTTTTATTCTTTAGAGGCTTCTGCTTCAGAATCTTCAGTAGATAGCACTCAGATTCTTCTGGAGGCAGCGTTCAGATCTTCATCTAAGATGCTCTTGAACCTTTGAAGTCTTTCATAATATCATTGTTCAGATTCAAATTTGCTCTTTAAGAATATTTTCTTTAGTACCTATAGCAAACAGTCTAGAACAAATTTAGAGTATATAATTCTTGAATACAAAATTCATAAGTGTTATCATCAAAACATAGAGATATTACTAAGAAACAATCTGTGTTCTTACACGAAGAACCCCAAATCCATTCTGCTCAAGTCTGGGACCGCTCGCTACAGCTCGCTGCAGCGGACGTTCGCGACCAGCTCGCCTAGCGAACAAGCTAGCGAGTGTCTGCGAACTTCAAAACCCTCACTGCCCAACTTTCATTACTTTCCACAAAATCGACCGATTCTCACCAAACCAGTTCCATAGCCTTAGTCTAACCTCCCTCGACTAAATTATACAACTTATTCTCATTTTTGACCGTTAAAACTCGGTTTCTATCGATTAAATCCACTTTTGCCCTAAAATGGAAGTTGTAGAAAAACATCCAACAATCTAACCCAAGCATACATAATCATATACATTGACAAGATAATGATATTTCACACTCTTACCTTGGTTAAATCGATGCTTGAGAGTTGTTCTTGAGCTTTTTCAACTTTTCCTTCTTCTTCTTCTCTTTTCTCCTCTTTCTCTTTCTTTTCTCTTATGTTTCTATCTTTCTGTTTTCTTTCCACTTTTCCTTTATAAGTCTTTCTCTTCTATTCTTTCCATCATATTTCTCTTCTCAAACATCTACCAATTTCATTTAATTACTCATCCATCAATTAAACAATCTTCACAAATCATTTAATTAATATAAATAATTAATTAATAAAAATTGGGCTATTATACGGTGGACAAACCAGCCATTCACCAAAACATGTTGAATTATCTGAAGGGTTCAAATAGAAGAAAAAGAAGATGGATTTGGTAAGGGAGAAACCCTAGAAACTAAGCGAATTGAAGGAAATGTTGTAATTGGATGGGAAACCCTATAAACGATGAGACTGACGAACTCTGTTTAATAAAACTAGTCGAAAGTCTGGTAGTTCTAATTTTACTATGCTAATTTAAGTGTTGGTTTAGGTGTTATGATAGCTAGTGGCTATAATTTTACTATGTTAGTTTAAGGGTTGGTTAAAGAGAAATATATTATAAAATTAAATATATTTTATTAAAAAAATATAAAAAAGTTAATTTTATTTTAAAAATTAAATGATATTTATATGAAATTGTGTGATTAACCAACTTCATAATTTCAATAACCAACATTTTACATATTATTAACCAATTTTATTTAAGGTTATAAATTATTTTTAATTTTGAACGTTTATTAATCAATTTCATCACTTCATTAACTAACTTTTTATATTTTATTAACCAATTTTATTTTATAATTTAAAAAACTATTAACAAATATTGTTCACTAGTCACTAATCATGTACTGTTCATAAATATATTTTTTTATTAAAAAGATACACTATTTATTATATAAATACGATAAATCTATAACATATATATAAAGACAATACTTGGTTTTTGGTGTAGTTTTTTTTTATACGAAATTTACTCTTATTTTAAAATATATAACTTACACAATAACTTCCATTGAACTACTATTATCATCTTTCATATAACTCCATACTAATAACTTTTCACATAACTTCCATGTAAAATTAATATTAAATAAAAATATATCATTTATATTTATACGTGTGCAATAAAAAAACAGACAGACGGACACGCGAGTACCCAGTCTGAATGAATGCTAGTAATATATAAATACTGTAAATAATGTAAACAGTGTGTAAGTACAACAACAAAAATGCAAAACGCAAGCATTAGTTGATTTGCTACAGCAGCAGGAGGAGGTTCCAGGGTTTTTGTTGGGTTTTGCTCTTCCACTCCATTTCTCCTAAACTCATTTCAACAAACACCTTCAAGTCAACTCAATGCCCTGAACTCAACACAATGCATCGACGCCGTTTCACTCTCTTCACCCTCCAACTCCTCACTAACAACAATCTCCTACGCCCACTCCCCACCTTAACTCCCCTACACCTTCACCACCGTCACCTCTCCACCACCTTCCGCCGTCCACCACCTGACCCAAACGATCCTTCAATACTCCTCAAAGAAGACGGATTCTCCCTATGTTCCCAAATGTGGATCGACAATTTCCGTCACCCCGACAAAATCATCACCAACCTCTCCTCCTTCCTCCGCCGTTTCGAACTCTGGCTCCTCGCCTACCAAAAAGTCACTACAGACGAAACCGGTTCCTACACGCCTCGCAGCTCAATTCAACGACCTCAACTCGAAGACCTTCTCGCTCTTCGTAACGCTGTTATCGATGGTAATTTCAAATGGGGTTCGCGGCTTAAATTTCATATCAAATCACCTATTGATAAAACCGATTATGAATCCCTTTCCAAAAGAAAAATCAAAATCATATTAACTACTACCCAGCCCACACCTTTTCAAGATAAAATTGTTCAGGAGGTTCTTTTGATGATCCTTGAACCTATTTATGAACCTAGGTTTTCGTCCAAGAGTTTTGCTTTTCGTCCTGGTAGGACGCCGCATACTGTTTTGAGAATTATTAGGAGGAATTTTGCTGGCTATTTGTGGTATTTGAAAGGTGATTTGAGTACTTTGTTGGATGGGGTGAAAGTAGGGTTAGTGATTAATGCTGTTATGAGAGATGTTAGGGATAAGATGGTTGTTGATTTGTTGAAATCTGCGTTGGTTACGCCGGTTGTAACGAGTAAGGTTGATGATAGAGAGAAGAAGAAGACAAAGAGGAAGTATCAGAAGAAGAGGGTTTTGAATGAGGATGAACCTAAGCCTGATCCTTATTGGTTAGACACTTTTTTTGGATTTGCACCCGAGGAAGCTGAGAAGGTTCCGAACTGGGGTCATTGTGGAGTTTTGAGTCCTCTTTTGGCGAATATTGTTTTGGATGAGTTGGATCGTTGGTTGGAAGGGAAGATGAAGGAGATTTATGTTCCTTCCAAGAGTGATGTTATATGGAATAGTCCTGAAGGGGAAGCTGAACAGGGAAACACTTCCTGGCCGGAGTTTGTGCCTACCAGTGGACCTGATAAAACTAGGAAGATGGATTTTATAAGATATGGAGGTCATATCTTGATTGGTGTTCGGGGTCCTAGGGCGGACGCGGCTACATTGAGGAAGCAGTTGATTGAGTTTTGTGATCAGAAGTTGATGGTCAAGCTTGATAATGAATGCCTTCCTATAGAACATATAACCAAAGGTATAATGTTTCTCGATCACGTGCTTTGTAGGAGGGTTGTTTATCCAACTCTTAGGTACACTGCAACTGGTGGTAAGATCATTAGTGAAAAGGGTGTTGGAACACTTTTGTCTGTCACGGCGAGCTTAAAGCAATGCATTAGGCAATTCAGAAAGTTGAGTTTTCTAAAGGGTGATAGGGATCCTGATCCCCAACCTTGTTTTAGGATGTTTCATGCCACTCAAGCTCACACCAATGCTCAAATGAACAAGTTTTTGTCAACCATGGTTGAATGGTATAGGTTTGCAGACAATAGGAAGAAGATTGTGAACTTCTGTTCTTACATCATAAGAGGCTCACTTGCAAAGCTTTACGCTGCTAAATACAAGCTTCGCTCTCGTGCAAAAGTGTATAAGATTGGTGCCCGAAATCTGAGCCGTCCACTGAAGGAGAAGAAAGGACAGTCTCCTGAGTATCAAAATTTGCTTAGGATGGGTCTTGCTGAATCAATCGACGGGCTCCAGTATACAAGGATGTCTCTCGTACCTGAGACAGATTACACCCCATTCCCTGGTAATTGGAGGCCTGACCATGAAAAGTCATTGCTAGAATACATAAAGTTAGAAGATCCAAAGACTTTGGAGGAGCAACAGAGTGGCATCAGAGAACAAGGTCTTGTTACACCTCAAGATTACATTTCAATGCTTGTTTGGAATTACAAAAGGAATTCTCTTCCCATGGACCATCTCTCCGTAATAAAGAGCAATGAAAGTGTCTTAGGGAATCAACATTTGCTAGCTGGCTCAAACCAGGATGACCATGAACACATAAGCAAAGAGGAAGAAACTGATGCAGGGATAAATGAAGCACAGATGTAACAAAAGGGTTTGTAATGTGCACTTACATAGAAATACTTATTTTTACACTTTTTTACTTTACGTGTTTTCTGAATAGGATTTTTCAAGATTTTTTTGTTCTTTTACATTCATCTCTTCAAGTGGTTTCTCCATCTAACATGAGATGTGGTAATTAAAATGTCTTACAAGAATGGCCACTCTTACAAATATAGAAATCATTCATGAGCTTTTACTTAATAGCTTAAGCTTTCAAGAGACTTAGCCTTTGACTTGATATTAGAACCTTATGGCCAAGAGGTAAAGAGTTAGATCCTTGCCATCCACCATTCGTCTAAAAAGAGTTAGCCTTCTTGGGTATTGTGGGGTGCTCAAGTCCCACATCGAAGTAGTATACGGTGCTTGGTTGAGTAATTAAATGGCATGGTTCTTCCCCTTGTTAGTTAACTTTTAAGGGAGGGTTCTCCTCCAAGTATTTTCCCCTTGATAGTTAACTTTTAAGGGAGGGTTCTCCTCCAAGTGCATCATGAATACTTATCACAAACCTGAGGGGCTTTAATGTGAGGAAGTGCATTTAGAGATATAGAGATTGGATTATTCATGTGGTTTCACCTAATAGCCAAGTATTTAGGAGAGTTGCTCTTGACGTTTACTTCTATTTCCCTTGAGGATATTATCACGAGCAAAAGTTTTTCAGAAGTTTATCATTAACTTCAGTGCTTTGTGGAATCCCAACTAAAATGCACAGGAGTACCTTGCGGCTATACAATTCACACACGAGGACTTTTGCTTCAGTTTTAAGGTTATTTGGTGCATGTAGCAGTCATCTTTATTTGGTAAGTTCTTGGTTTATCAACAGAAGCCAAAAGAAAGTTTTGCTCTAATTCTTAGTTTAGTACTTTCATAGCTATACGCCATGATGGTTGATGGTTCACTTGAATGACAGCTACTGTCACTATGATGCTATTAGTGACGATTGTTTCATTATATTTCAGTTGATGCCACAACATTCTTTAGCAGTGAGATGATCCTGTTATCATTATTAAAGGGATTTTCCCTTCGGTTGAGTGCCTCAATCAAACTGGGAGGGGTTGACTGCATAGATTCTAGCATGTCATTGTGCTTGATCCCAAATCACAGATTCATGAATAATGAATATGTGTTAGTTTCACTGCGTTGTTTTTAGTAAATGTTTACTAGTCTTTCCAGCCTCTAGTTAGATCTCTCAGTCCCTCATCATTCTTTATTTTCTTTTAGCTTTTGGTGGTTCACATTTTATCAAATATCTTTAAGTTTATGTGAATCAATATCTTCAGTTCCCCTCCTTGTTTTCACTTTGAGACTTGAGATTCTTCAAAATCAGGATGCACACATTTACTGATTTTGGTTTTCCACTTTCTTTGTTAACAGTGTACCTATCAGTTACTGAATTTGTCATGTGCTTTTGTGGCTTAAATGATTTGTGTTATCATATTAGTAGCATTCTCGTGTCACGATTGACACAATTTCACAATCGCATATAATCATGTAACTGCAGTTGTCTTTAATTATTTTAGAATTCCAAGTTTTAGAATTAATCAATGCAAAATGCTACACTTTACTCTTTTTGTACATGTTTAATATCCTTTACACTTTTTTTCTGCCCTCTTTTCAGGTCTGTATTATCCTTCACCTTTCCACCAAATTCATGGATGCTTGCCTTGCCACAGAAAGGACACAACATCTGAAGACTGGAGTTTTTTGTGCAAGCATCTCATTCCTACTCAGGAAAAATGCGGGGGTTGCCAGTCCTTATGAACAGGGGCTAATATCAGATGCAAATGTGGAAAATAAGTCCGTTCTATATTTGTCGGTCCACAGAAAGGAGTACTCAATTTTGTACGAAAAATCCAATAAAGTTTGCTCCTCGTGGATGCATATGGCAAGAAGGGAAATTGAACAACTCAAGCAGTATCATCTAATTGGTTATTGTTCATATGTACTTGTCCCATTTTTAAATGAATTCAGTACATCCTCAACCCTTGGTTCTTGACTATACCTATAATTTTGTAAACTATTTCTATACGAATAGTGTACTATGAGAGAGAAGCTTACATTATTTGATCTTGTTATTGACCCAATGGGGAAAATGAATGAAAGAACATGATAATAATGCAGTTTTTGTTTATATATTGTTCAATTCTGAATATAATTGTCATAATATGCTTCTACAGTGCATTGAACTTCTGTCTTCTAGTTAATTATTTTCGATTAAAGGTCAAATTTACTCCCAAAATCAGGGCACATTAGACTCTTATTCATGAGCTATTTTTGTGTGCATTTTTTAAAAAATGTTTCTATGACCAATTTTGTCTATATTAGTTCTGTTATAAGAGAATTGTGTTTGGCAGTCGACATTTAGCGAGATCAAATATTAACCATGTGAATGATAGGATGTCTTGTTGATTGGAAGTTTCGACCAGAGAGCAGCGACACATAGACTGATCGACAGACTAGATAAGATGCTGCAGAAGATGAAGAAAGTCGACGTCGAGGAAGGTTGTTGGGTCGATCCAGATGGTGTCAGTCGATTGGGTCAACTAAAGCCCATACAAGGAGACAAATATTCGAGCGGGAAATGAATTTGAAATCCAAGAACGTGGGAAGTTACAAAAGTGGTGGGCGAACACGTGGCGTCATCATATTCAACATGACAGTTATTTCTCTTCCTATTTAAAACAATGCATGTTTTCAATTCAAGGGGCGCATTTTTGTAATATTGTAAGAAAAACACTCTGAGTATCAAAGCGTTACGAGAAAAGAGTTTTTTCTCATACAAGATGTATGATCACTGTTGCGGTGGAAATAGGATATCAAACTATTAATTAGTTTGAATCACAATCTTAATTCACAACCGCTCTTTGATTTATCCGAAGGAAAATGTCAAAAGAGGGAAAACCTATTTTTGCATCGTAAACACAATGCGGGGAGAGACATAGGTAAGGGGTTGATTAAGCTTAGGGAAGGTATTAGCACCCTAAACTTCTGTAGTACTCTACAAGAACCTTTTGTTTATTGTATGCTTTTTTTATTTTATTATCTGCTTGATGTATATATTGAGCTAAGGGATAGAGTGACCTAAAAGAGACCTAAGGGTTAGACCTAATTTTATTCGGCAAGACGTCACATCTTGTGCCTACGTATCCTGGATAGGGAATGGAATCAGAGTAATCGTAGTTCCCCTCGAAAGGGAGGTTAGAAACTTCTTGACTGTGGTCAAGGTTTCAATGGGGAATAAACGTATCTTAAGGACACGCTTACGTGGAGTCTTAAAACTTCTATTTCTATGTTGAATTTGTTAAATGAAATTAGGTTTAAATTAGGGATTCCACGGTGGGAAACCCTAAACAGAGTACGACGACTCTTTGACCTAAAGCAAGGGTAAATGGCGTTTTCGTCCACGGCGGAATACCTAGACTATTAGGGTTTGAAATGGTCAAAAATTAGGGTTATTGACTCGGCGGTCAAACGACTAAACCTAATTCCTTCGGAGGGTTTTAACGGTAAATTATGCAAACATGACAAGATATTATATGGCAGAAATTAAAATGCAGAAAGTAAAGAAAGCGCTGCAACGATCACTCGCGTAAATTTCAAATCCCCAAAAAAAGATAAAATAAAACCGCGACCATGGCCTCGCGTAAATTACATCCATGGAACAAAATAAATTGAAATAAATATGAATCAGAATCTATGTATAATCTGAGGAGAGAAACAGAGAAAATTAGTGAAAAGTTAGACGGAAATATGACAAACACAATTTATATTAAAAAAACACGAAAATGCAATTTAGAATTTTTATTATTGTTTTGTTAATTTTTATATTTTGTTTTTATTAAAATTTTAGTCTTAATTTTAAAAGGTTTTAATTTTTAAATAAACAAAACTTTAGTTTTAACTTTTTATCTTTAGAAAGTTTTAATCTTAATTTAAAAAGAAAAATTTTAATTTTAATTTTTAAAAGAGAAAGTCTTAAATTAAAAAAAAAAGCTCTAATCATAAGTTTTGTTTAAAAGAAGAAGTTTACATTTAAAAAAACTCGTTAGTTTTACTTTAAAAGAATGTTAGTTTTAAAATTTTAAAGAAAGTTCTAGTTTAAAATTTTTTTTTAACCCTTTCTAACATGTTTTAATTTTTAATCTTTAAAACTTAATTTTAACATAAACAAAAAATGTTAATTTTAATACTTTAAAAAAAAGAAGGTTTTAATTTTAGGAGTGGGTTAATTTTAAGTTAGTAAAAATGTTTTCACTTAACTATAAAAGTGTTTTAAACACTGTTTATTTATTTCTAAAAAAATTTCTATTGGTTAGTGTTTTAATTAAGAAAAAGTTTTAAGTTTTTACTTACTGTAATTATAATTAAAAACTGGTTTGAGTTATAATTCACAAAAAGGGGTTTTAGTTAGAATAAAAAAATGGTTTAAAAAATAAAATGGAGGTTTAATTATTTGGAAGAGGTTTTAAGTGGGATAACAGAAAAGCTTACATTTCAGTTGCCGGTTGGTGATGCTTTCGCTTGTTCTTCGCTGGCGGCAACGGTTCTCGACGAACTTCTTTGAATCTCTTTTCCTCTTTCTCAAATGGAGGTGATGATGATGAGCTTCGAAGCTCTTCTGAACCTCCAGATCTTGACGACCGCCGTTTTTCTTTTTGTCTCCTTCTCCCCATTTTCTCAAATGCAACTCATGTTTATATAGGTAACAAATTAGGGTTAACTCTAACCTAATGCCCACTTTAAAGCCCAACTTAAAGAATTAGTCAAAACTAACTAAAATTTAATTTTATATAGGTAACAAATTAGGGTTAACTTTAACCTAATGCCCACTTTAAAGCCCAACTTAAAGAATTAGTCAAAACTAACTAAAATTTAAACAAATTAAAACAAACTTAAAACACTATTTATTTACTAAACATTAAAAATATTATAAAAAGAATAAAATCTTTTCTAATATTTTTAATTTTATGATTTTTGGATGTTTTTAT